CACGAACCAGGCTTATCGGTCCGGTCATGCACTTTTGCTTTAAACTTTCGATAGTCAGATCATTAACAGCATCAGTAGACCTAAAGTCATAAAGCAAATGCAAATCGGAACTGGTTTAGGTATACGAACCCCCAAATGGATGGTAAATATTCTGACAAATTTTCAGCTACTGTTTCCTGGCTGGTTCCCGAGTTGGCATAGTGCCAACCATGAACTTTGACATGACTGAAACCGTGGTGTAGGTGTGCACGACAGTTGAATTTGAAATTTTTAGCTACAGATGGACAAGGAGCACCGTTGTGAAATTTCAGCTTTCTAGCTTGTCCGGTACTTGAAACCGTTTTCTCGTTACAAAATCTGCATTTTTTGGCACCCGTACATGAGATCCAGACGTACATAAGCGATGATTTCAAGTTATAAGGTTGGCATGAATGCTGGGAAAATAATCACAAAGTTTCAGCCTTTTGTGGTTGCCAAGTTAAAAATGCGTGGCAAAGTTCACTCACCTACAACTATACGCGTTTTTGCACCGTAATAGCGCTATAGCGCTGTGCAAAAAAACCATATAATATGGTATGGTTGTACTGAACATGAATACATACAATACTAGTCAGTCGATAGCCATTTCAAGTATCAAGTGGTCCCACTGTTGTTCTCGGTGTTTCGTACTGTGACACGAATTCGGCTGGTAACTGACATACTACATTCGTGGTACTTTGCAGCAATATGATCAAATAAGTGGCCGTAAAGGAAGCCATCTGTAAAAGAAGAATTCATTACTCTTCCTCTTTAAAAAAGAAACCATCTCTGTTTTTCCGTCCTTCAATGCAAAAAACCGAAATGGGATTCTCTTCCAGTTTTTTTTTTTTTTGGCTGAGATCATAATTCTCCTATTTCAATTCAAGAGGCGAATGGGGTGGAGATCTTTTTCTTTCTCATCCAATCCAAAAAGCGGACAAGGAAGGAAGGAAGCGATCAACTTGATTCTAAGCAAACTACGAAAAGGGCCAATTCGAAGTGCCTCCGCTCCTCATAGAAAGTGAGACGCAGAAAGGAATTCATTTAAAAAATCTGGAAAATAGTTAAAACAACTAATCAGAAAATAATAAAAATTTACCGTGAGGAGGAGCGAACGCGTGATAACGAAGAATCCACCAGCTGTAAAATTGGCCGGTCCCATTTTCACTGTCTCAGCAAACATCAATATACAATTCTGCAACATATTTATTATGTTCGTTGAGGATGATTCCAAGACTCTACAGCTATTTATACAAAAAGTATTTGTCATATAAATATGTATATGCATCGGAAGTACTTTGATAGATTACGAAACCCAAAAAAAAAAGAATAAGGATGTAGCTTAAGATCCAGTGAAGTTAGTTCGCATGCAGCAGAGTCCTTAACAAGAAAATTCTGCGGCTACGAAACTTCTGCTCTGCTTCGTAACTTTTGTGACTATGGAATAGTAAACCAAAGAAATACACGTAAACATACACAGGCACATACACAAGCACATACGCATACACGAACACACATTCAAATACATGGGTGCGTGCACTAACAAACAGACAAGTACAGTTTTACCGTACGAACTAAAAAATAATAAAAAATCAAAAATAAAAGTTGTACAAAAATAGAAAACAATTTACAGTAAGCGATGCATTGTTTTCATCGTAGATGTGATTCTCGAACATTTTTAGACACAATTTCAGGACTTCACCATTCTGAAAATAAGCAGCAGACATTTTTACGTTTTTGCAGTGCAAATCGTATTTCGCCCGCTATAAAAGGCAATTGTTTTTACTCAGAGAAAGAGGGTTTTGCCTCCTCGGCAAAGCCATGTCAGTATCAATGTATCATCGAAACGAATGGGTGAATCGCATGCTCCCTTCTCCTCCTCTGGGGAAATATTATATAAGCCTTTTTTTAAAAAAACAAACCTTTTCATGGACTTTGTAAGCAGGAATGGTGACTAGTAAAAAAATGGACAATACGTTGGCATTCCAGGAAACCAGGACGACGATTTGAAGAGCAGTTGCTTGGATATCGCTGTCTTTGAGATAAGAATAAAGGATGAAGCAAAGAGCTAAAAGCGTCCAAGCACACAGGTATAGCAGAGCTATTGAGAACTGACCATCCACCACATCCGCTGCTTCTTTGAGATGCTAAAAAGAAACTCTTTTATGTCATTCATATCCTCGGATAGTCAATTTTTTCGCCAAAATTTTCATCTTGATTCCTGGCGCCCAATCTATAAGATTTATCCGAATATCGTTTTGAGACAAATACCTTTAGTTCTATGGTCCCAGGCAAGCTTGAGGGCTATATTCCTGAAATTTTAATCGGTTTCCTATCTTTGGTAATTTATGGAGTTGAATTATTTCGCTATAATTCATTTTTTTTTTATTTAGGATTTCAAATATAGAAACTGTTCGAAGAATAAAGAAATAAAACAATTTTATGTCACAAGCACGATAACTGTCGAGGATAAAAATGTTTGACAAACAAACAATAAAGCCAGGTTGTAACTCTGAACGAAACAAATAACCTGAAATCTCTGTTGCAGCTTTCTCAGGACCTCCAATGCCGCTTTTGGTGAAATCCTAAAAATTTTTTCGCATTAAATAACAAAAATTATTAGAAAATTTTTTGCAGAAAATTCGAATATTCGCAAAGAGGAAGAGTTATTTGGGAGGCTGCCAGTATGAGATCAAACTACTGCTATAAAATTAGCTGAGAACATGAGCCACAAACTATTATCACGAAAAAGGGCGCATAAAAGC